CCAAGTCTGAGAACTAAAAGCCAAGTCTAAATTGTTGTTTAAAATGTTGCTAAAATGAATTTGCTAAAAATTGCTGAGACAGCAGAGAAGAGTTAAATAAGGTTTAAACTAGATTAGATAATAAAATATTAATATGTCTCGAAAATCCAAATCTTCTTATTTGAATCCACTGCCCAGGTATTGCCTAGGTTTTTTTCGCGCATTATCATACAAGATGCCAAATATAGAAAAGTATAGAGGAAAAGTTTCGTGATAAGAACTATATAATAACCATTTTTTAGGTTATTATATAGTTAGGCTGCAGTTTTAATGGCGACCGCGGTTCATTCAGTTAAAAACACGTGTACACAAGGAGGCTGCAGCTGTAGCAGAAAAGAGAATTTCTTTCTACAATGTGTAAGAAAGTATATACCCGAAAAGCTAAAAGTAATGTGTTTCACAGAGGATTGGGTCAGGTGAATTGTATGAATCAGGAAGTCTTAAATTTTCTCAAAATCGTAGCCTATTCAAGATCAAATTACCATTATCGAGCATGGAAATAAAGTAGTAGAACCCTGTAAAACTGAGCCCTTTTGTAGTAAAAATTCAGATGTCTGACCCAATATTGGTCTTTACGAAAATTTTGATCAAGACAGTTTAATTTTTTTTAAACCGGATGCAAAAGAGCTTTTTCGCACCAGCGAAAAACACCCTTACTTATATATTAATAAATAAAATATATTTCTTCGTTTTTATTTTTGTGGATTTGGGCCGGTTGCCTGTTTTTCCCGGGCCGGTTTCCACTTCCCCGTCCACCCCTGTTTATAAGCTTTGGTTTTTGAGATATTTAAAGATATTTAAATATGCTTGCTATAATAAAAAAGTTTGTCAACACCTTGTACATTACTTTGCAGAATTAATTCTGGTGCTTACTTTCAAGCCAGAGAAATAAACTTTACTAAAACGATGGATACTTTAAGTAAGGCGGAAGGAATGGATGTTGCTAGTTATTTTATTTTCTGAGGACAATTGCTTGGTTGGCCTGAAGGGTTTATGATCAGATATCCAAACAGGAATTTTTTTGACCAGCGTTCCTTTGAGAAACTACTTTTCGTATTTCGCACAGCTGATGGTGTGCGAATACTTACTTAAAATAAATACTTATAAAAATAAACTATTGGAGATAGAGAGTCGGTTAAATGGGGAAAGAATTGCAGTTTTGTGGGGTCATAAATATGCGCCTCTCAGATTTTTGAAAAAGTTCGCTTGGGCTTACCTGAAAGGCTTACTTGATATTTCGAAAAAAAAACAAATTTTTGCTATTTTAAAAATCGTGTCTAATTCCGTTATAATCTATTTTAGAGAAAAACTTTTCAGATCAAAGTTGTAGATAATCACATCCTTAATGAGATTGTGTCCTCCGTTTTTTTCTAAAGCCTGTCATTTTTGACATATGAGTCATATGACACAAACATATGTTTTTTTAAATGGAAACCATAGTTGACCATGACTTCATAAAAAGCGCCATTTTTTAAGCTTTTCAGCGATATAAGCTATAATACGTTTATTTTCGAAAAATTACTGAGTTATAGCCCATTCTTATCTTTCTTGGCTAATTTCACTTAGTTGGCATGTTATTTTATTCTGTTATGATTTATAACTTATAAAAAGACAGAATATTTTATTAAACGGTTCTTTACAATTTACCTTACACAAAATAAAACTTAAAAAACTAATATCACTACATATACTTTAAGTTAAATTATTTTAGCAAATGTTCAAAAACCACCATCTAATCGTTTTGAGTGCATAAAATGCATCTTTTTAAAACTGAATTACAAGCTTTTTCCACAGAACGGCCGGTCGATTTTAATAAACTTCTCCTCTCCTAATTCATGCTTGCATGATGCCTCTCTTAATTGGTAAGTTCTTTTGTAAACCTTGTTAGCCATACAGCATAAAAAAATCTAAAATGGATTGGTCAGGTGATCGAGGAGGCCTATGCAATTAGTCCACCTCTTCCTATCCCTGACTTTGCATAATTATGATATAAATAACTTTTAACATTTCTTTCATTATGAGGGGGAGTGTCATAATGAAAGCAATGTTGGAACAAGGTTGGAACCACTCTATTGATGCGCGAGTATCTAAATTTAACTTTTCTAAAAAAACGTAAGTAACGTTAACCGGTCAACGTATCCTCGAAAATGTATGGCCAAGAAAAGTTGAACCAATAATCCTACACGCTTTTCTTCATTTGAAAAATTCATATTTACAATTTTTGTTTATTTTAATTTACAAAGTTTGGATGTGACAGTTTCACATTACTGAGAGCAACGACGATTGAACTTGTTCCCATGGCTAACTAAGTGAAATTGTTTAAAAATGATAAGAATTGGCTATAACTCAGTAATTGTTCGAAAGAAACATATTATAGCTTATATCACTGAAAAGCTTAAAAAATAGCGCTTTTTTGAACTCATGGCCAACTATGGTTCCCATTTAAAAAAAACATATGTTTGTGTCATATGTCAAAAATGACAGGCTTTAGAAAAAAACGGTGGACACAGTCTCATTAAGGATGTGATTATCTACAACTTTTATTTGAAAACTTTTTGTCTAATATAGATTATAATGGAATTAGGGACAATTTTTGAAATAGCCAAAATTTGTTTTTTTCGAAATATCTAGTAAGCCATAAACTTTTTCAGAAATCTGAAAGGCGCATGTTTGTGACCCCACAAAACTGCAATTCTTTCCCCATTTAATCGACACTCTATCTCCAGTAGTTTCCGAGATACCCATAGAGAACATTGTAGGAAACTCACCCTGTATATATAAATGGATAAATTTGAAAGCTTTAAGGTACAGTCGGTGTGGTTTAGAAAACGATAAAAATAAGCATTACATTATTATTATCAGGTTTATTTTGAACTTATTAATTAACATTATTTCTTTTTTAATCCGTTTACTAAAACACCGGTGTCGATATCAAAACCGGTATCGAGATGCACACCGGTGTCAAGACCAACACCGGTGTGGAGATGAACACCTGTGTAGAGATGACTACCGGTGTTGTAGATGAACACGGGTATCGAAATGAACACCGCTGTCGGTGTCGACACCGGAACACCGGAGAGCCTATATTTGGCCACCGGTGTCATCCCAACACCGGTGTTAAAACGGTGTTCCGGTTTTTGGAACAGGCCTACCCGGGTCCGTAGGGTTGACCGCGAGGAAAATTTATTTATGTATAATTACATTATTATTTTGAAAATCTAAAAATACTATCAGATAGTCCTAATAAAGTGGCTATGAGAATGTGCAATTAATTTTTGATTTTCAAAAAAGTAACGACAGGAAAAAATTAAATTAATTTTAAAAAAAATCAGTTTTTCCAAAGAACTCAGCAATCCTTGAAATTTTAAAAACTTTTTTGATTACATCTTGGTGAACACCCCAAAGCGCAACTTTGCCCCAATTTAACCGTGTTCGTATCTTACGGTTACCGAGATACCAATGCTCGTACCTCGAATTTGTAGCACCCTGTATAAGTTAATAGATAAAAAAATTATTACAACACATTTCGTTAAAAAGGAAGAAATTGAGGTAAGTTGCAGACTTTATAAGAGTTTATTACTCCAAACAAATTAACTTAAAAAAACAGATTATAAATCGAAACCAAAACATGGCTTCAATAAAGTTACAGAATGTTTTGAGTTTGCAGGACATTTTACCCCATGCTTAAAGAATGATCAGCTTTACTTCGAAAATCTAAAATAAAAACTACACTTTGTGTAGTTTTTTTGCATGTAAAATTTGACTTTTTCTAGTACAAGAAGATCAAGAAGAAACTTAGTTCCTTCTTGAATATTTTTTATAGTTAAGGACACACCTTTTTTAAGAAAAGTTAGGTATTAGAAATTTATATTGAGTTCTCTGGAAAATATATTATATCTCTATTTTGTTTTAAGTAATTTGCATACGTATGTAAGTTGGATGAACATAAAATAGTGTTATCTGGGAATCTATTTTTTCTCGATTTCTGGACACACGATTTTAGGTTTTAGTTTATGCCCTCTATAATAATTAATAAAATAATCGACATTTTTATGAATCAACAGCACGATCACCAAAGTTAAGCAGCAATATGCGTGGTTGTTATTGGAAGAGGTGGCCGCTTGAAGAAAACCCTTTTTTTTATTTTTAGCTCTATTAATTTGTGTTGTCAAACAAAATTTGCGAATCTGAATGCTGATTACGAGCAACGCATTAATACATTTCGCGATATCGTCTGGTGTTTATAAGAGGTGTTAAGGCAGTTAAAATTTAGAATCACGGATGCTATTTACCAGACGAATTTGCGATATCGTATGCTGTTTACGCGGTACCGTTCGGCTTAGAACCGAATCGCGATCATGGACGTCGTTTACAAATATGCCACCCGGTATATAAAATTAAAAAAATATTCTCGGTAGGAAAAGGTCAATCTGTGTATACGGTGTTATTTCTTTTTAGTTTAATTAATAATGTCTGGAATGAAGTGAATTTAGGCAGATATATTTTTATAAAAAATCCTGTATAATAACTGACTGACTGAAATACCATTACTGGGTTTCAGATTGAATAATTTTAATAGATATAATAATTAATGTTAAGAAATATAAAAATTATTATAGTTAAAAATAAATTACTATAATTAGTTAAAAAAATAAAATAGTAAAATTAAAATTTCTTAAAAAATATATATTAACATAAAATGTAATTGTAAAATAAACTAATGTTTTTTTAAGTAACTATTATTATCCAAATTATTATTAAATTTGGAAAAAAAATATAGAACTGTGATTTGTAATTAACTATAATATTATGGATAGGTTATAAATAAAAATTTGTAAAATAAAATTGTATAAAAAATTAATTAACATTGTATGGAAATTTTTGATCGGATCATTATAATTAAGTTATGATAATTAGAATAATTTTTCACTCTAATTTCGTTTTTTTTATTTTTTCTTCAGAAATATTGTCGTACTCCGAGTCCATGGAGAAGAATTCGTATTTCCTACGTCACTGCATCATCAGATGCAACCTAGGATACCGCAAATGAATATGATGAAGGTTCATATACCTTTCACGTTTAAATTACTGGAAACTTCCAGGTCTTCTTATTCTGGTAAGTTTAATATTATTAAAACTGTTCTTTATACTATACATGACCTGTAATATGTTTTAAGAACTAGTAGTTGCTTTAAGGCTATAAACTAGAACAATATACCGGGTGCGTCTCAGAAGTGGCTCACTACTATATTTTTTTATTTTTTTAGATAATCTTATTCAAATCGGAATATCGATTCTTAACCCTCAACTGGTGTGGTGGGGTCTAGCGGACCCAAAGCGGACCCCAAGCAGTATTTAAACCTCTGTAAAATGTTTACGCTTGAGTTAGGGTCATTTACCTTTAAGTTAGGATACCAATATGCAACTGTTAAAAGCGCACTTGATTTTATCAAGTATTGTTCCTACCAGCGGGGACTAAAGTTTCATAGGGGTCTGTGTGGCACCACCACGCCAAGAATGTTTCATTATTAGGATGGTGGGTAGTCTAAAAAGTGTGCCTCACTGGGACGCTAATTTTGAGTAAGCATTAATTGAGTGGTTTGATGAACTTAAAGAGACTTAAGTGAGATGAAGACTTAAGTGAAAGAGACTTAAGTGAGATTTTCTCCGAAGAGTAACCATAACTCCGATTCTGAATCTCTTATACTTAGAAGAGAGAAAATTGAATAAGCAATACCAAAAAAGATAGATATGTGGTATATGTCAACCATAGATAAATAATGTCAACCATATGTCAACGAAGAAATGGCAAAAAACAAAAAACTCGTGAATCAAATGTGCACGATCCATGTGCGGCAACTGTAGATCCTATATTAGTATGGACTGTATTTGAAAAAGTTATGTACATTCAAGGTTCGCAGTTTTCTTTAAAATAATTTATGGGGGTTTATTACTTTAGCTTCACATTTCAGTTGTTTGTACTTTTAATAATACGGAAAAATCATAAAATAAAAATGTTTTTAAAAATAATTCCTAAAAAATGCATTTTACGTTATTTTTGTGTCCATTCTTATTAATTTGTTGAAAATTAATAAAATTGTTTGTTCACAAGTTTGAATATATTGTATACAGTGTTAAAATAACAAGCTTTTTATAATCCCTTCATCATGTATTTTTAACTGCAAAAAAATTGGGGTACATTGGACGCCATAAGCGGTACAAAATTCCACCACTCCGGTTGAGGGTTAAAATATCTTGTGTTCAAAAATGTGTTCATTTTTTTTTGATGCCCTCTAACGGACAGACGAAGCACTTTTGTATATAGAGGTAAATTATATACAATGAACTTATTTTCACTCGTAGTAGTTCTATGTCCACGGAATATTGGGACACCTTGTATATTCTGTTACATTGTATGATTAGATAAATAAACCTTTTGAAAAAAACTGCAACTGAACGGAAAGTTTGATGAAGGTTCGCACATTCTCTTCGTTTTTTCGAAACGTTTTATTTACCATCCTCGACCCATATTTTATATGCAAAATACCGATAATGGATCTTTTTTTATTCTATTTCACATTATTTGTCTTGGAAATAATAATAATTATTGTTCGTAAAATAAAGGGATATAGAAAATAAATATGACAGTAAATGATCATATTTTTTCGAATATATGTAAATCAAAGAAGCGAATAATCAAAATTTAAAATAAAAAAAACATACAAAAATAAATGACATAAATATTACGGCTGCTCTTTGACAATTGACAGATTTGTTAAATTGACGTCAAGCATAACACAGCCACTTTCTTTTATAACGAGATCTATATACAGGGTGTAGATACTGATAGATCTCGATAAAAAAAAACATATTATATATATTTCTCTTTCCCGTTTTTCAAGTTAACTCCAATATAGCGGAGAATGATATATTTTAAATATATTTTACTATAATATATTTTAAATATATTTAAAATATATTTTACTTGTAATATATTTTTTATATTATGATATTTATTTATAATATACATATTTTAAATATATTTTACTTCGAAAATTTCCAAAAGAACAAAAAAAAAAGAATCGCTATTACATTACATGTATTTTAACTGTTTTGAAGCGTCATAACTTTTTATCCGTACCTGTATAAAACTATCGAGGAAAAAAATATACATCTCTGTGACTTTTCACGCAAAAAATATCTCTTTCTCAAGATATTTAGAATGGAAATAGTCAATACATGTCATTATTGACGAAAAATAAACACGTTGAGTAGATAGTTATTTCAGGTTATTTCACTGAAAAATAATAAATTTGGGAAATTTTTATTTTTTTTTAATTAATGATCAATTTTTCTGCAAAAAATGATGATAAAACAGTTTCTATTAAACTTTTGGCACAAAAATATTTCAAATTTATGATTTCAGTCTAATAACTATTTAGTCAACATATGTTTAATTTATGTCAATAATGAAAGGTATTGATAATTTCGATTCTCCAAATATTTTGAAAACTGTTACTTGTAGAGATTTTTACCAGGAGACCTTTTTTACGTAAAAAACGTCGTAAATGTATATTTTTTACTCAGTAGTTTTATACAGGTTCGGACGAAAAATTATTACTTTTCAAATCAATTAAAAAGTGTGTAGGTGGCGCCCTCTACTAGTAGGAGTCATATTGACATCAAAATCAAATTTTTCATGTCAAAAAACTCTCAGACACCAATTTTCATTCAAATATTGACGTTACTTCAGAAATTATTTCGAAAAAATTGAAATAAAACTGAAACTTCTACACCCTGTATCTCCGAAACTAAGCATTTTAGGACATACAATTGACGAACTTTTTTACTTATTTTTATCTGCAGAATATGCTGCCGAAGTTTCCGGAATTCAGTTCGGACCACCCTGTATTATGAAGATATTATGATTTTTAACAAAAAAATTCCAAAAATGTTTTTAAAAAATTTCAAATTTTCCAAAAAAAATATTTTCGCGAAAAAAAAAACCTCATAGACGAGTTTCTGGGGTCGACCAAATTATAAAACTCAAATTAAATGAAAATAAGCTTAAATTATTTAAACTTGGTACATTTGTTCATAAATTCGAAGATATTTTGTGGGAGATCACTCAGTCACCTTGACCTGCTTACTAAATGTAACTGTTCTTATGTAACCTCTGAGAATGAACGTACAAAAGAAAAAAAGAAGTCAAAGAACTGTAAGCATCGAACTTGTCGTTTGCTTAACATTAATTTGTTGTTTGTTTTATTTTTCATCAGTATACCTATATTAGTTTCTATTTTGTTTAGGTAATAATATTGCATTGTTTGAATTTTTCCAAAGTGCCTATTGTATTAATTATTACACCTATAGGTATAAGTGTAATTAGTTTTGTCGTTGACAATTTTCTGTTTTCAACATTTTATTCGAAATTGTCATTGAATGTTTCAACAGAATTAGGTACTTATATGCGAGGTGTCTGAAGTAAAAATAATGACGTATAATTAGTTAATTTACTTTTTGATATATTTAAAATACTTCATTTTTTATATTTATTTGCCAAAACATTTTTCTATGTAATACATATAATCGATTTTTAAATTTTGTTAAACTAGGTATATACCTATTTTTATGAATTAATTTATGTCATTTTAAAACTTGTATATACATAATTAAGTCATTATTATATATTATTTTTATATCATTAATTATTTATTAAATTTCACAACTTCGCATGTTTGTGCCAATCAATATCTATGCAAGAAATACCCGATTTACCTACTTATATCATGAAATATGAAATTATTTTACTATGGCGCAACTTGAAATAAATGCTATTACACTTAAAGTTTCAAAACAGTCTTTTTTTAATAGTATATTAGTAGATTAGTGTCACTTATCACTTAATATAATAAAGTATTCCTACTCTGGGTGCCAGCACACAAAGGGATGGAAGACAATGTAAAAACAAATTATCTAGCTAGAAAAGGAGCGAAGACTCCACTAACTGGACCAGACCCGTTCTGCTTCCCAAGTGGAAACCAATTTAAAGCGGAACTCAAGAACCTGGAACACTCCGTCCGTAATCTGCAATGGGAATCCCCCAAATGTCATAAGTGTCATAAAAAAAAAGAAACCAATACATTCAGCAATATTATACTAAATAATAAAATAACATATTTAATCTTCAATAATTGCTAATAAACATTATAGAAACTTCAAAATAAGAACACTAAGAGATAGCATCACTACTTATTTAGAAGACTTTGATTTCGACCGCTAGAAGTTATCAAAAGTCTTTCGCACGTAACAAAAATTAGTTTTTAATTATTATTACCGAGTCCCGAAAGTACCGAAAGAACCGGGAATTAATAATTTCGAGTCCCGGTTCTTTGATGTCTCAAAAGAACCTGGAATTCCCGGTACTTTCGGTACCGAGATTTCCCTGTTCTAAAGCCTAATGACACCCGAAGAAATTTCTTAGAACTTAGGATCGTGAAAAATCAAAGGTTTTCCTTGATGAAAGTAAGAACCATCTTCCACGACGCGTGGCACAAGATCGCCATGCGGTATTTAACAGGACACTGTCTCCTCAACGAACATTTCAGTAGATTGAGGCACAACGGCGAATGCAGATTCTTTGGAGAAAATGGGAAAACTCCTCATCAGTGACTTCGCCGAGACGACAACCATTCCTGCCATAAACTTTGGTACGACTGATATCGGCGATGGAGAACAAACCTCTATAAAACTGTCTCATATACTGGCTTTTGTCAAAGCCGTAAGACTATATGATGAGTTATAGCTCAAGAAAGGGAGCACAATAGATCTGTAGGATCGTGGTGATTAACCCCCCTCCTATACATTCTACATATACAGGTATGGTGAGGGGTGGCTTTTAATATTCTAAAGGGAGCCCACCATCGTCTTTAGAATATCATCTAAGAGGATATTAAAAAGAAATGACGACAGGACGCAACCCTGCCTCATCCCATTCCGAATGTTGATGGATTCACTTCGTTAACCCTTATGCAAGACTACACATTGACCCTCACAATAGAGCGCCTTAGTGATTCTTACAATTTTGTTCGGAATACCAGCTCTGCTGAGGGCTGG